CACACACACACACACACACACACACACACACACATACATACAAATAACTTTATGTCAAAAAAAGCCAGCTCCCACTTCAATTGTGGAAGTGGTGAAGTCTGACCTGGCTCAAGTCTGTAGGTCAGAGGTTAAGCCGGAGGATCATCCTTAACCGTGTTGCTGCTGTGGTTGATGGAGCAGGCAGCAGGAAGACCACAGGGTTTGGCGTCCAGGGTTGTTGAATCCAAGGTCAAAAAGTCAGGCTTGTGGCCTTTACTGATTTGTATAGCTGCTGCTCTGACAAACTGAGGGCTGAGAGATGAACCCGGGAGCAAATCAGGCTTATAACTGAGCCGTCCAATGAATCCAAGACAAAATGACTTTCAGAGTCAGCAGGCAATAATGTGGGTCTATGAGCCAGATGCAGGATCAAGACCAGCATGAAGGAAGAGAAGCCTTCCTACAGAGACTGCTCAAATAGAAGGTTACACTCCCAAGAAAACTTTCTTTCAATTGCCACAAGGTGGTCACTTGAGAAAGGAGACCTTAATCCCCCTTAATCCTCTTACAGCTGATTGACTGCTAAAAGCAGATTCTATCATGAAGTTGTTTGTATTGTGTTAAATCATATCATAGGGGGGCCTCCAGTGCCAAACAATGAGAATCCTTACCCTGACAGGGTAAGAATGCAAAATCTGACTTCAGAGTGAGCAGCAGCCACCTCCTGGGTTAGACAAAAAGGATGAGAGTGTCTGCTGACTCACATAACTAAAGGAGTTAATGAACCCAAGATAGGCTGATCAGATACCAACCTTCTGGCTGTAGTAGGCAATGAATCCACACAGGTAAAATGGCAAGATTTTAAAGACTCTCAGGATCAGCAGATAATGTAACAGGTTGCTGGCTCAAGTCCAAAGGTCAGATTAGCCAAAGGTAGAATCAAAATTCAGCAAAAAATAAGCAAGCTTTTCCACAGAATCCATTGGCATCAGAAAGAGGGTACCTGCCCCACCCTCCCCCGGAGATTTTTCATAGGGGATTACTAAATTTTAATTGCCAAATTACTGAGAATCTTGGCTCAGCCAATATGACACAAAATCTTAATTATTACAATCATCAACAGTGTGCCATCATAAATATATGTATTTCACCATCACACTGTGAAGTCTTTTAATAGGATATTGTAGTGAAGTAAAATTTCTTAACATTGCTCTTCTATTGATACCTCTATAACTCTCATCAGATGACTGGGTCGAATTATTCATATAGGGAATGTGTTATACTAAGAGAGTGGATGGGTCAGTTTTAGTAGTCACACTCCTGGCTATAAGAATGAGCTCTCACAGAAGCAGAAAGAAAGAGAGAAATCCCAAAATTATTAAGGAAGAGCCACTAGTGGAACGCCTTAGATATCTCTGTCTAAAGTCGAGGGGGCTGAGACCAGAGGGACCAGAGGATTTGGCAAGCAGATCCTGGGCAAGAACAAACGAACCAGGCTGAGGCCAGGAGATGATGAGATACAGCAGAGAATCAGTGCAGAGACAATAAGATTGTGAAACAGAGCACCAGGCTAGCTTCCTAGCCCACAGAAGCAGTGACCAAAGGGCCACATGGAGGCTGCGTGTCTGAGGACTAGAGGGAGACCTGGCTACTGCCTGAGTAAAAGTGTAACTGAAATATTACTCTTTAATGATCCTGACTTTTGGTGACTGAGATAGTTACTGTTTATTTTGTCAACCTGGCCAATGAACACATGT